TAAAATCTAAAAAAGAAGAAAAATTAACCTTTACATTTGAGTTACTTTAATGCCAAACTACAAGTACTGAAATCAATAAAAATCTTTATTTTGTAAACTTTAGAAAACATCAATCTAATCAATCTACCGAATAGTTTCCTTTTTATTGTCATACACATATTTCATTTCTATTCTTCATTCACTTTGCTTTGATTGATGTTACATACTACAATTGATTGATCTCTTTTAGTTTATGTTAATCATGTGCAGTAGTATGACTCGATATTGTCACTATGCCATAATTATTTTAAGTAGAGTTGATTGATGCGTAACAATGGAATTTTTTTTGATCGAGATCATGAACCGATTGATGTTAGACCACCGTTAGATGCCTGGAAGCATTGGACGACTGTTTCGTCTTATTGTGGAACTCCTCAGTGGCAGTGAGTATCCATGATCCCCTTGCGGCATTTGAAAACATGGCCTTCGGTCTCGCGCGCGAACGCTTAATCTACTGGACCACTGAGCAGGCATCCAATGGTGTTAGTGTCTAACATCAGCAAATCCACTAAATTGCGCGATCATCTTCCATTGTACTGAGATGGATACCTGTATCTACTCGACACGGATTAGCTCCACTGGTCACAGTTTCTCACTGGAACTCTGAGAATTACCTCTCGAAGCTAGTCACTAGTACTTACATGATAATTATCAGTATAAGGGTTGTGAAGAGTATTATGTGCTACTTTGAACTCCATGGTTGGATTTACCTAAATATTAATGAGAAGATTCAAATATTCAGTTCAAATGAATTAAAATTCATTCCACAGCACAAACCAGTGGTCATCTGGTCTCAGTAGCTAAATGGATAACGCGTGGAAGCGATATTTACCGATCTTGAGTCTTGGTTTGAACATCAACACCAGGGTGCAGGTACTACCAAACGATCGGTCCCAAATAGGATCAAGCACGCACTGTGGAATTCACCACTAAGCGCCAGCCAGCTCTATTTTCATCGTCAAAAGTAATGTCCAAGATTCTCACAAATCAGGTCATTTACTTACCATGTAGTCGTTTCATGTTTTCACCAAAGTAGTGTTAACAGAATATCTTTTGTAAATCCAGTTCAGCCTCATTCATCTGAATACAAGATCGTCACCCAAAAAGTACAAGAGACTACATGCTTTATATTTTTATTTCATGAATACAAAAGGCTGACGGTTATTTGGTCTCTGCATCACATTCTGGATATTCACAACCCTTGCTGTGATTTATTTATTTATTTATTATTTTAACACATAAACATTGGTACAAGGAAGTACCAAATAGATAAGCGCTACATGAATCATTCGATTTGTGTGAGGGCTGGAATACTGTCGGAGCACCCAAACCGAAAGAGGTGGTTTTCTTAGGGGGCCACACCGGAAGTCTTCGACCTATAGGTCTGATCCACAAGACAGTTGAGCAACATCTGAAGATGCAACCACATGGTTGCTGGTGACCGATAATTGGTTCACATACCATTTGTTCTTTCAGGATCGTAGAGCCCATGTGTACTATTGGTTTGAAATGAAGGTATTTTAACTCCTCTCGATGGATCCTCCATATCGACTAACCCGGTTAAAGTGCCGGAAGATCCTTTTTCGTAAACAACACCCGTCGTGCGAGAAGGCGATCAGTAGGACTTCCATGACGATAGCTGTGGGATTTCGAGAGGAAGGGCTGGCTCTCTCCACCTTCAACCGTATCAGGACATTCGGAGGCCACGCTTGATTAAACTAAAAAGAATTATTTTCTTCAATGTTTTATTTCCAAAATAGCCTTCAATGTCTCATAAATTCCTTCAATAAAAAGAACCTATCATATACATTTATAAGAAGTGAATCTAAAAAGAAACTGATACAATGATTTTCAAACTAAACAAAATTGTATTTACTGGTTAGCGTTTATTCAGTGAGTTAGTTTTCTATGAGATGTGGTTGCTGACCTCATGCCCAACCCTCCTCCTTTTTCCGGGCTTGGGACCGGCAGTAACTCTAGAAGAGCTACACGCGGTGTTAAATTGGATTTACATACATACAAATATAACCACTTCATTACAGTTTATTTCGATCTGAATAATAATGAATTCAATCTTATCTAAAACATTGAATAGTACTATACTGAACCAATTGAATGCCCCCATTTGTTTACATATGCACATAGTCAAAGATGGAGTTTTACTGAGACATATGGATATGAATTTGACAAAGTAAAAATTAAAAAACAAAGAAAAAAATCCTTCATGGAAGAAATCTTAAGAACATCAGAGGATTGTTTCTCTCTCTCTCTCTCTAGAAAGATAACATTCAAGTCATTTGGATACTATTAAACATGTCAACATAGATAGAATTGATCAAATCTAAACAGATGTGATCGTTTATTTTTATTATTCATTTAAACACATAGATATTGGTACAAGGAGCCAACAAATAGATATGCTCTACATAAATCATTCGATTTGTGTGAGGGATGGGATACTACGCGGGTGCCCAGACCGAAGAAGGTGGTTTTCTTGGGGGGCCATAACCCGAGCCTTCGGCCTGAAGGTTTGACCCACAAGGCAGTGGAGCATCGTAATAAGATGCATTCCCATGGAAGCCGGTGACCAACAATTGGTTCGTACGCCATTTGTTCCCGCAGGATACTGCAGCCCATGTGCACCATTGGTTTGGAATCCGGTTAAAGCGCCGGACATTCGCTTTTCGTCCTCTCAATTTCATAAACAACACTGTGGCCACAAGAAGGCAGTGAGTAGGACTTTCCCGGCAGGGGCTTTATACGCGTGGCCGTGTGAGAGCACTTCGAGAGGGAGGGCGGGTCCACTACACTCTCGGCCATACCAGGGCATTTGGGGGGCATCGTATGATTAGATGATAGTTAAACAGAATAATTAACAAGAATATAAAGATATGTGAAGAAAAAGAGGAAGAAGATAATCAAACAGAAACTAGATTACTAGAATAGGTCTTTTAGAATCAAACAATAGAGGACTATTATCAAGTTCTAGTTTGATAGTCTTCAATAATGTTCACCTATAATTGTCTAAATATTGATGTACTACTGTAGTAAACGATTGTCTCTTACAAAGTCAATAGTTCCTTTATTCCTGTTGTCTTCAATACGATCTATTCAATCTTCTACTGGAAGTCATTTCACTTTAAATTGGTGTTATATATTACTTAATTCTGTCGACATGAGTAGCATATACAAAAACTATACATTAAGAATGTTTAAACTGAATTAAAATATTTTCAGAATGAGGTTTCAGAAATTCATTAGTCAGCGTAAGCTAAACCACAATTGAAAACCTGAATACACATGATGGCTATCTCTTTCTAGTATGGAACAGCATCCAACGGTGTTAATATCCACGAATGACTGCTCAAATATTCATCGCGTGAAATCAAAGATCCTAGGTTCAAATCTCATCTATACGATCATGGATACCTACTTCTGATGAGTTTCATATTAGAATATAAAACAATCAGAATGAGTTTTGTGGAGATTTTAGTAAATTTCACAGGTTGAAATCATGAGTCAGTTGAAGCTAGACTACCATTGAAAACCTGGAAGCACTGGATGGCCGTTTCGTCCTAGTATGGGACTCCTCGACAGTGCGCATCCACGAACCCGCCCCCCGCGGGATTCGAACCCAGGACCTACTGGCTTCGTGCGCGAGCACTTAACCATTAGACCTCTGAGCCGGCATCCAACGGTGTTAATGTCTAATTTCAACCATACTAGGACGAAACGGCCGTCCACTGCTTCCAGGTTTTCAATGGTGGTCTAGCTTCAGCTGACTCATGATTTCAACCTGTTAAATTTACTAAAATCTCCACAAAACTCATTCTGATAACAATCAACTGCTTACTAGTGACTGACTTCAGGAGAACCTCCTGGAGTTCTAGTGAGAAGCCGTCATCAGTGGAGTTCAACCAGGTCTGTTGTGAGATATCAGCTCACTGAAGACAATGGTGTTCGGTGGCGCAACTTCGTGGATTGGTTGAAGTCAGACATTAACACCGTTGAATGCCGACCAGATCAGTGGTCTAGTTGGTTAAACGCCTGGCGCGAGACTGATAGGTCCTGGGTCCGAATCTCGTGGGGTGCGGGATCATGGATGCGCACTGTCGAGGAGTCTCATACTAGAACAAAACGGCTGTTCAGTGCTTCCAGGTTTTCAATGGTGGTCTAGCTTCAACTGACTCATGATTTCAACCTATAAAACAATCATCCAATTCTTTCAAACTTTCAATGACTATCATCTAACTTAGTAACTTCTCTTATAAGTAATTCTCAAAACTACCTAATCATTTCAATCAATATTGACATATTTAATGATTATGTATAATTACACACTCATAATACTCATCATCATGTAATATACATAGTTGTACTGTTTGTCTGTTTGTTTGTTTGTTTGTGTTGTTCTATTTTCATAGATAGAAGTGAAGACAAACGTTCATAACTTACTACTTATATATCATCATTTATACTACTTATATTACTATACTATTTCTAGAAGAAAAAAAACAATCATGTAAATTATGACAATCTAATCAATCTTTTTTTGTTATTCCTACATAGTAACAAAATGAACCAATCATATTGTGGTGACATGTATTTTTTTTGTTTTTTTTTCAAAAAAAAAAACTAAAAAAAAAGGATTATTTGTTAATCATTGTATTTGAATACTCCAATTATGTAATAGACCATTGGATGTAATTGTGTGCAATCAAAATCAATTATTGTGTATGTTTATGAACGTGTATACATATATATGTGTGTGTGCAGGTGCGCGTGAGTGCGTGTGTTGTTCTTGTTGTTATGTTCATGTATTCACTATTATAAATGGAATGTAACTGCATTACCTTTAATATAATTGTTTCTAATCCATTTTCTTCTTATTATTATTGAAGGGTTATTTGATTGTTGCATAGTGATTGTTTATTTCAAAAATTATTCTATTCTCAAATAATATGGATAATAGTAATTCAATTATGCAACAACGTAGATCATCGGTAAGTTGATGAATTATTGATTTCTTTCTTTTTCTTGTTTTTTTGTTTTCTTCGCCTTCGTTTTCTTTTCTTCTTTTTCTTCTTTCTCTCCCTTTCTTTTTCTTCTTTTTCTTTTTGTTCTTTTCTTTTCCTTCTTTCTCTTCCTTCCTTCTCCTTCTTATTCTTTTTCCTTTCTACTCCTTCTTTTTCTTCTCTTCTTCCTTTCTTCTTTTTCTTCTCCTTTTTCTTCATTTTCTTACTTTCTTCTCCTTTTTCTCCTCTTTGCCTCTTCTTCCTGTTCTTCTTTTCTTCTTTCCTCTTTTTCTTCTTTCCCTTCCCTCTCCTTCTTTTTCTTTTTCCTTTCTACTCCTTCTTTCTCTTCTCTTCTTCCTTTCTTCTTTTTCTTCTTTTCTTTTCCTTTTTCTTCATTTTCTTACTTTCTTCTTTTCTTCTTTTTCTTCTTTTTCCTCCTTTCTTCTTTTTCTTCTCTTCCTCCTTTCTTCCCCTTTCTTTGCTTCTCTTCTTTTTCTTTTCTTCTCTTTCTTCTTTTTCTTCTCCTTCCCTTTCTTCCCTTCTTTTTTCATTTTCTCCTTTTCTCTTTCTTCTCTTCTCTTTTCTTCTCCTCTTTTCTTTCCTTCTTCTCTTTTCTTCTTCTTTTTTTTCTTTTCTTCTTTTTCTTCTTTCTGAATTTTCTATTTTATTCATAGTCATTTTCTCTTATTTCTATTATAGATTAAACTTTATACTGAATTTTCACAAAATTATCCAGCAGTACATAATCTACCTATTCAAATTGATAATAGTTCACATTCAATTAGATCAATTATTATTCCTTCAATGATTATGCAATCAACGGTTAGTAAAGTATTGAAAGTTATTATATATATATAAATACATTATATTAAAATTATATTTCATTTAACAAGTGTCATTGAATTTGAGTTGAATCTAGCAAATGCCTTAGAAACCAATCCCACGAATGAGGTCGTAGATGTGTAATAATGAGCAGTCCCCATAAATAGGACAATGTGGCTGTCCAGTGCTTTTAGGTTTTCAGTGGTGGTCTAAGATCAAACGGATTTTCATCAGTGTTGGAGCATCAACCCAGTACCGGACTCCTCAGCAGTGCGCATCTACGATCCCACCTGAGGGACTCAAACCCAGAGTCTTCGGTTTCGCGTGCTAACGCTTAACCTGTAGATCACTGAACCGGCATCCAGCGGTGTTAATTTCTAACTTAAGCTTATCCACGAAATTGAACGACATATCCACCATTGTTATCAGTGAGTTAGTATCTCTCAATAGGCCCGATTGAACTGCACTGGTGACTGCTTCTCACTAGAACCCCAGGAAATACCTCTTGAAGCCAGTCACTAGTGAGCATGTGTTGATTCATATCAGAGATGGGTTTTTGTGGATATTATAGTAATTTTAATGGTTGAGCTCATGAGTCAATGGAAGCTAGACCACTATGGAAAACCTGAAAGCAGTGGACGGCTGTTTCGTCCTACTGTGGGACGCCTCATCAGTCAGTATCCACGATCTCGCCTCACAAGATTCGAGTTCGTATATGCTCAGAAATATTACTGTATATTAGGGTAAAGCCTGATGAGGATCTAATCGAAAACAATATTGTTCGCTTAGATACGTTGTTTTATTAGAAGACCACATTAACACAGTTTAAGAATTAAGTAGTTAAAATTGATATGAAATAAGAGAATTTATTTTATTATTTGCACAATCAGTAAACTTATAATCATTATATTCACTTGGTGTTGTTTACTTGTATCTTCTCATTGTTATATCCAGCTGACTAGCCCCAAATAGGATGAAACGTACATCCTGGATTCCATTGCTAGCCACTGTCCATCTTTGCTTCTAATCATTAGATTGAAAGTTTGATTAAATCTTCGAGCCTTTCACATAGAGATCTAATCCATAAGGCAGTGGAGCGACGTCAGGAGATATAGTCCAATGGTTCAATTCGTTCAGATGCCATTTGTTCCCTCAGGATCTTGAAGTTCATGTACACCATTGGTTTGGAATGAGGGTCTACCAATTCCCCTCTAGGTGGAACCTCCGTGTCCACCGAACCGGTTGAGGTGTCTGACATCCGTTTTCGTCCTCTCAATTCCATAGAAGATACACCTTCGGCGAAAAGGCAGTAAGGAGGGCTTCCCTGTTAGTAGCTGTATACACGTAGCCATGTGAAAGAATTTTAAGAGTGAGCGGACTCTCCCAGCTCTTGGCCATATCAGGGAATCTGGGTGTATAAGATTAGTAATAAAACATTTTCATAGTTCAAATCACGAGATGATCTTAGCCATACAATTTTTGAAAACTTGAGATCATTAAATATCCATTTCGTCTTAGTATTCAACTCTTCAGAATTTGGGATTCACGACTCCACTAATAAGTATCAAACTTAGGACCTTGCACGCCTAACTTTTAGGTTACTGTGAGGGCATCTAATGATATTTATGTCCAACTCTGATGAATCACTTGATTTTCTAGAGATCAAGCGTTCATGCATGAAACTAAAGGTGGTGAGTTCGATTTCTGGTTGAAGGATCATGAAAAAGCACTGATGAAGACAAAAAAGCCATTTGGTACCTCCACATATTCATCGGTAGTCTAGCTTAGTATCATATGTAAATACTTAGCTTTTTTTATCATCATACTAACCAGAAGAGTTTTTAAATGTTTTAAACTTACAAAATAGTACCCCTGGATACTTTTTCTTTGCTAATTAAAACTAAAGATCATCATCAACACAGTATATGAAATAATCTAAACAATTGAATTAATAGATTGAAATTATGAGTCAATTGAAGCTAGACCACCATGGAAAACCTGGAAGCACTGGACGGCCGTTTTGTCCTAGTGTGCGACTCCTCAGCAGTGCGCATCCACGATCCTGCACCCCACGAGATTCGAACTCAGGATCTATCAGTCTGTGAAATTTCTAAAATCTTCACAAATCCCTTCTGAGAACTGAATTAACATTATAATAACATTGATTGATAACTTCGGTGAATCTGATATGCATACCATATTTCTTAAACAATGAGCCGAGTTCACACACACAAACACATATAGACACTATTAATCAACTCATAACTTTAAGACACATTGAAAGAATTATAGTTAGATTTTATGATATATCAAATATAATGGGTAAAACTTGTTCTTTGAAGATACAGTCCCTGAAGTCTTATGTTATTTCCTTTCTAGTTATTTAGTAAATGAATCAAATGGACATTCAGATATTTGATTATAAGGGTCAATTGATTTGGTGAAAGTAAACTTGTATAGTGAAGAAGGTTAAGCGTTCGCGCTCGAGACCAAAGGCCCTGGGTTCAAATCCCGCAAGCGGGATCGTGGATGCGCACTGCTGAAGAGTCCCACAATAGAACGAAACGGCTGTCCAGTGCTTCCAGGTTTTCAATGGTGATCTAACATTAATCAGTAGCATATACCACACCTGTACTTCGATTCTTGAAGTTACCAGCTCTATTCTATGAATTATTCTAAAATAGTTGGAAGGTAAAGCGAAGAAATATTTGGTTCAAAGTTATACTTTAGTAAACTATAACTAGTGATTAACTCACCTCTTAATTAACATTAGGATAGTTTGAGATGGTCTAACATCTAATACTGTTTATTTTAAAGTAAGGGGAGTGTCCACTGAATTGCACTAGTAGTGATTAACTAAACTCTTTTCAGAACATATAAGTTGTCTTTTAAGAAGTTGCTTGAAACCTGCAAATGATTTATTCATTCGAGCTACATCAGTGGTATGTAAAGTATGGTGAACTAGTTATAATCAAGAAGGTAGTCTTGATGTCACAGCTTATTTATCAAAGTACAAATGTGGTTGTTAACAGCATAGTGAATAATTATAATCACTAAAATGTAAATTACTGGTTACGTGATGTTGAATTGGTGAAAAACACCCTCACTTTTGGTTTCGAGCGTGAAAGTTTGGTAAAGTGGTGCAAGAAAGTATGAGTTTAAGTGACGTTTCGTTGTTATATATGTCAAAGAGAAAAAAACCAATCAGAAGTGACTTCTTTTTTGAATCTCAGACAAGTCATGAAATGTGTATAGCGTTGAGTTACAGGAGCCCCCAAATGCCCTGGTATGGCCGAGAGTGAGGAGAGTCCGCCCTCCCTCTCGAAATGCTCTCACGTGGCCACGCGTATATAGCCTCTGCCAGGAAAGTCCTACTCACTGCCTTCTCACTCCACGGGTGTTGTTTACGAAATTGAGAGGACGAAAAGCAAATGTCCGGCACTTTAACCGGGTTGGTGGATACGGAGGGTCCACCTAGAGGGGGGTTGTTAAACCCTAATTCTAAACCAATGGTGCACATAAGCTCCAGTACCCTAAGGGAACGATTGGCGTATGGACTAATTGTTGGTCATCGGCTAACATGGGACTGCACCTCTTTATGATGCTCCAGTACCTTGTGGATCAGGCCTTTAGGTCGAAGGTTCCGGGTATGGTTTTCTAAGAAAACCACCTTTTTCAGTTTGGGCACCAGGACAGTATCCCATCCCTCACACGAATTGAATGATTTATGTGGCGCATATGTATCTGGTGCCCCCTTGTACTAATATCTGTGTGTTCAAATAAATAAATGAGTTGTAGGAATCCGGATAATCACTGTAACTGTCGTGATTTATCTGTCAAAAAACCATCTACAATCAGTGATTTGAGTGCTATTAACTGATTTCCTAGCAAGTTTCGATACAATCACTACAGAGGTATATACAAAGAAAATTAAAACAATATAAGGTTGTTTGATGAACCATTTATTATCTTGTAAAGAATCTAAATGAAAGACACCTTGATATACTATGGATGAATTCTTTTATAAAATTCACAATGGGAAAAAAATGTTTGATGTAGTTTTGTTCTCTGAACTGAATGGTTTAGTCGTGGAGCTTTCATCGTTCTTCTAAACGACATTATCAGCACAGACTTCAGGTAGAAGTGAAGTGTTCGAATTTCTCCATATATAGTTCATAGCTTGTCCTATAGACCTAGATGTTGACTGGTTATTGTTAACCTTTAACCTGTCATTGTTTACTTCTTTTATATCTTGGTTGAATCTCTCATTCGACTGGGAAAATGTGGAAATTTTGGATAGAGGGAATTCTAAAAGGCATCAGGAACTTTGTAGAAGCTTAGCACTTAGGTCAATGAGCAATCAACAATCACATTGAAATCGATCCAATTTATCAACCAATCAGGACAATTATGGACAAATATAGGATCAAAATTCAAACCAATGGGAGATACAACCAAAACAAAGAAGTAAACAATAATCGGTTTCAGATCAACAAGAACCAATCAACATCGAGGTCTACAGGACAAGGTATGAACCATATGTGGAGAAATTCAAACACTTCACTTCTACCTGAAGTTTGTGCTGATGATGATGATGTCGTTCAGAAAAACGATGAAAGCTCCACGACCAAATCATCCAGTTCAGAGAACATCATCAGAATCATTCAACTTTATTGACAATTTAGTAGGGGAAACTAGGAAGCTTATTCAATCCTATTTATAAGTCAGCATTAGAATATATCTGTACCCATCTATTTTTATTGTTAGCATTGAGAATCTAATCCAAAACGTTTCATCTCGAAGACTGAAGTATTATCGACAAAGCTGAATAGTAATTTTTCGGCTGTTATTGTTCAAGACAACTATATGAATTAAGTAACGTGTTAGTCAATACAACTGGATTCGAGACCTAATGTTCACTTCCTTCAACAATATTAGAATGTACTATAAACATCTAAATGATGTATACTAAATAGGACAGATTCCATGATGATTTACATAACGGATTCATTAACACATATAACTAAACATTATATCAAAATAACCGTCTCAGAAGTGGATACACTTCTTATACGTGGTTCAAAAACTTGTCAAGGTTAGAAAGAGGTTCAGAGGTTCTAAAATCGTAATGCATGCAGTAGAGGAAATCATCCATACGACTACAGAATAGTCGGCCTCAGGGACCGTGATAAAGTCTCAAAAACTCTTTCAGCCTCGACCACATAGCTTCAATATTGTTTATGTGCACTCCGGTTGTCGAGTACACAAAATGCTACTTGTGGATAACGACACGATGCACATAACCAAGACTATGTTGAAGTCTGTACGCTCTTCAATCATCCGTATATATTGTAGTACCCGACTGAAGCCAGTGTTACGGGTGCTTTTATTATCCAGTTCGTAATAATTGTCGTAATTTGCCTTAGTTAGGAATTATATATGGGGTTTTCATCATGAACTGATATCAGCTATAATGCCAGAAATTTATTTAGCCAAATAGATGAAAGGCTTTCGCGTTAAAACCCGAGATCTATTATCTTATGCCTGATTGATTCGTCCACAAATTATAGTCCCGCCGTTTTATTTGTTATAGCCGCTCAATTATCACGTTTTGTACAAAATTCCCTGTGAACCGATCGTACATTAGCATTAAGCACTGAAGTTGGCGCCGTAACCTTGAAACCTCTCGAATGCTTCTGGTTGGCTTGTCCACAAATCACAGTTTCGTCGTTTAGTTCTATTTAGTCCCTAATATTTGTTTTCTGTGAATACAATGTGTAACAATTAATAGAAGTTTAGTAACCATGAGAATACTACCGATATATACATTTTAAACAGTCTATAATAGATTTCATAAAGAAGTTAGACATTTTGTCAACCTTTATGATAGTCTTTTATAGAAATAGTTTGAGTTTACAATATTTTCCTGTCAACATCTTGTGATTATATACATCTTTCTTATATAAACAATAATAATCATAATCAGAAAGGGGGTTTGTGAAGATTGTAGTTATGTAATAGTTGAAATCATAAGTTAATTAAAGCTAGACTATCATGAAACCCTTAGAAGCACTGAATGACCGTTTCGTCCCAACATGGGATTCCTCAGCGGTGCACACGCGAAACCGAACGTCCTGGGTTCGAATCCCGTGAACATAATCTGGAATACGCACTGCTGAAGAGTGTTTTGTCAAAAAAAAAGATTGTCATTCAATTATATTTTCATCATGTGTTATAATGTAAATCTTGCGTCTAAACGAATGAATGAATGAGTAACTGATTGAATGTCATTTGATCTTGTTATGAAATAAACAACAGATGAGTAATAAGAAAATCAAAGTTATGAAAACTGTTATGCAACAAAATTGTAATCTAAATTCACGGGGTGTTGTATTACTTGTATCTTCCGATTGTTATTTAGAGCTGCAATTGATCAGTCTCATGTTGGTTTATATGTATCCTGTACGGATTGTCTCAATATAGCCTTAAGTCACAAGCTCTTTAAGCAAAGGTGGATAGTGGCTAGTAGTAGAATCCAGTTTGACGCACGTTTCTTCCTGTTTGAGACTCACCAGCTAGATGTACTTGCACCGCAGAGTTGATGTTCACTCCAAAACTCGAACCCAATACAATTTACAGACTATAACAATTTAATATCAACAGTTGTTAATACTTTAACCTTCTTACTTTATCATATCGATTCATTGAAACAAGTAGATACATTACAATTTGATTGGGATAATTTGATCATCTCTAAGGATTATAAAAGTATAACTTGATTGATTACGTAATGATCATTCAATGTAAATTTCTCAAACCTTAAAGATATCAGTTGCAGATCAAAATACTCAATTATTGATCAGTTTAATACTTTAATACTTCCATTTCCTAAACGTTTTCTATTCATAAACATCGAACGGAAGGTAGTTTTCCTTATTTAACCAGGTTATGTGTAGAAAATAAGGGTATTTAAAAGATTCTAGAATCGTTTGGAAACTATGCTAACATTGACAGAAACTATGTTCACCGGCTACCATAGGACTGCATCTCCTGATGTTGCTCCATTGTCTTATAGATTAGACCTTTAGGTCGAAGACTTCGAGTGTGGCACCCTAGGGAAACCATCTGCTTCGGTTTGACCATCCGTGCAGTATCCCAGCCCTCATACAAATCGAATGGTTTATGTGGCGCATATCTATTTGGTACCTCCTTGTACCAATGTTTATATGTTTAATTAAATAAACAATGAGTATAATGAATTTCTAAGGAATCTTGATTAGTTGATTCATTGACAGCAGTTAAGAAAATGAATCATGATGAACTTGCAATAGTGATCATACCTCTTATTATAAGTAAATTTCGTGAAATTTATTATCATAGAGGTCAGATCAAATCAAGATCTGATCTAAGTTAAACAATTATTAAAAACTTGGAACAAATGGATATCCATTTCTTCCAAGTTTGAAACTCCTCAATAAAGACATCTATGACCCAACTTAAAGATGTGATTATGGAAGTTCTAATGAGTAGCCATAACTAGTGGAGTTCTGTTAGGGGTGCAGAGGAGTATACCAATACTTATCGTGTTAAGTCTAATGGTGTCCTTGGACGTTAAATGGACATTTCCATTGGTCGATATTCATTTCACCTGTCAAATATTATACAAATGTTGTTTTCTATTTTATGGTATGATGTGGTCTGGTTGGTTGCTATATAAATAGAGTATGTCTGAAATATAATGATTCATATCTCAGAGGCTGTGACTTGCATTCTGGACTCAACTGGCTGTGATAGACAGCGGAGCAGGGCCAATCGGGTCTCTAGGTCGTCCTTACGTGCCACTGAATCGATCGATAAATAAGCTGCGCATCCAACCTGCAGTTCATCCGTTACAACAAGTTCAAGCGCGTCTGATGTGAAAAGATAAGATAATATTTTAAAGTGATTGGAACTAGGCTTGTATGTCATTGAACTTCGACTCATTTGTCTAGAGATTGAGCGTTCATGCTCGAAAATGAAAGTGCCTAATTCTATAAGATATTCGCGAGGTTGTGAACAGGCATTGTTAAAGAGTCTCACGTTAGACTGAAACATCTTTAATACTCCCAAGTTTTCAATAATTACGATCGTTGGGATCATGAGTCAATTGAAGCTAGACGAAACGGCCGTCCAGTAATTTCAGGTTTTCCATAGTGGTCTAGCTTCAGTTGACTCATGATCTCAACCATTAAAATTACTATAATATCCACAAAAACCCATCTGTGATATGAATCAACACATGCTCACTCGTGACTGGCTTCAAGAGGTATTTCCTGGGGTTCTAGTGAGAAGCAGTGACCAGTGAACTTCAATCGGGTCTGTTGTGAGATAGTAACTCACTGAAGACACTGATGGATGTGTCGCTCAATTTCGTGGATTAGGTGAAGTTAGACATTAACGTGGTTGGATGCCGGCTCAGTGGTCTAGTGATTGAACGCTCGTGCGCGAAACGTATAGGTCATGTGCTCGAATCTCGCGAGGCGGAATCGTGGATATGCACTGTTGAGGAGTCCCATACTAGGACGATCAGAGTTTCCAGGTTTTCTTTAGTTGTTTTCATACAAAAAATGGCAAATCATTTCATTATCATTATTATTATTATTACAGGGAATCCAAACTATGAATATGACACCTGAAGTCAGTGTACAAGTGGATTTATTAACACAACAATCGGAATTTACTCAAACAGATTTAGAAGTTGATAATAATCCACCAATTTTATTAGATGCTACAAGTGAATCTTCTGTCAATATAGAAAATTCTACTGATCCATTAAGTAAGTTAAATGATTCAAACAAAATATTTGTGTATATTTACAATTTTTGACTATAAATTACTTTATGAATTCATTTTATGAATATATCTCAGTCCTACAAGAGGTCCAACGGAGCTTGGATAGTCCAGTGATGATATCTTTGACTGTGAAGCTGAGTGAAACGAGGGGCGGGGGGCATCAGTTCCCTCAAGATTACAGGTACATCTTACTGACAAGTGCCAAGTAGCACGAAACTTAAGTTCAAGGTTTTCTGTTAAACTACCTTCAACCACCATCTTATCTCAACATAATATACTCAATGTCGAGTCACCTAGACTAATGGCTACATTAAGACTTGGTCGATAGGATTCGATCTGTACTAAGAAGGACCTGACATAAAATTCTTTCTACATCACTTAGATACTTTAATTGGCATACATTACATAGACCTATATAGATAAAACTAAAATAAAGACCAATATAAGTCTAATCAACTACACTTAAGCGTATTTTCACATAATGAGAAACAAGTTCGTATGTGTTCTTTCTTTTTTTTTCTTTGAAATTTACTTGAAACAAACTTGAAACAAAAGAAAAACTAGTATTAAATCGCAATTGTTGAAATCATGAGTCTATTGAAACTAGACCACCATGGAAAACTTGGAAGCACTAGACAGCTGTTTCGTCCTAGTATGTGACTCCTCAGTAATGCACATCCACGACCCTGCCTCTTGGGGTTTGAACCCATAACCAAATGACTCAACATCGCTTGTTTTAATTTCTGAAGGTCACACAATTTGAATATAAATTCATATATTACAGAATTTTTAAATCCAAATTCATATTGTCCAATTCTATAGCATTTCAATTGACAACTGTGGTAAATGGAAATCGATTGACCTTAAGTGTAAATCAATAGTCCAAATGTATGTATGTATGCAAAGATGGATAGTGGTTAATAGTAGTACAATCTAGTTTGATGCGCGTTTCATCCTATTTAGGACAAGCAGGTGGCTATCAAGACTTAGTAGCTAAGTGGATAACGCGATAACGTTTGAAGTGAACGGTATTGGGTTCAAGTCCCAGAGGGAACATCAACTCGGAGTTGTAAGTACATCTAGCCGACGAGTCCCAAATAGGACGAAACGCGTGTTGAACTGGATTCCACTATTAGCCACCATTCACCTTTGCTTAAAAAGCTTGTGATTTACGGCACATATACCAACATGAGACTAATCAATTTCAGTCCTAAGTAACAATGGGAAGATATAAGTAAAACAACACCAAGTGAATTAATATATATGGTACGGCTAAGGGTGAGAAAAATCATCTCTCCTCCTCGAAACGCGCTTGCTGAAGAGGTGTCATTTAGGAAATTGACTAGATGTAAAGCGAATATCTGATGCTTTAACCAGGTTGGTGGATACGGAAGGTTCACCTAGGAGAGTTGGAAAACTATGATTCCAAACCAATGGTGTACATGAGCTTCAAGATTCAATGGATAAACAATAAAGATCACATTAATATCTATCGGAAACTTATCATGAATCCTCCGTAGAATCCTTGAAATTTATGAATTGATAAGTTTATCATAGACTTTCATACACAAACTAATTCTGTTTTATTACTTGATCCATTTTCACTTGACAATTGAATATTCGTTAAAATATGTTAACAGAAAATAACTTAGCCAAATATAGATGACTGAGAAGTCGTGATTAGTGGAGCTTATTCGGATCTGTTGTGAGATAGTAACTCACTGATGACAATAGTGGACGATGGTGCAACTTCGTGGATTGGTTGAACTTAGGCATTAATACCGTTGGATACCGGCTCAGCGATCTAGAGATTAAATATTCGTGCATGTGACCGAAAAGTCTTGTGTTCGAATCTCATGAGCAAAATCGTGGATGCACACTACTAAGGAGTTTCATACTAGAACGAGACGGCCGTCCGGTACTTCCAGGTTTTCGATGGTGATCTAGCTTCAATCGACTCATAATTTCCAACTACAGATGACTGACTTAGTGTTCAGATGTCAATAGTTAGTTAAAGAATCATAGTGACAGACTTACTGATCTTACTAAGATAACTGACTATAGTGATATGGAACCGGATAAAAATAAATCTGTTTAAAGTAACGAGATTTACAGTGAGATAAATGAGTAAATGAAGGTAATCTTTGTTCCATAACAGAAATCAAAGAGAATGAATTTTCTTGTATTGAACAGTAAGAACTGTACTATATTGTAACCTATAAAAAGAAAGAAAGTATTTCTAGTATACGGGTTGTGGAGATTATTAAGTTTTTGATTGAGATCATGAACTGATTGATGTTAGACCACCACTTTTGGAAACCTGGAAGCACTGGACGGCCGTTTTGTCCTATTGTGGGTCTCCTCAGTGGCAGTGTGCATCCACGATCCCCCTTCCGGGTTTCGAACACAGGGCCTCCAGTCCACTGGACCACTGAGCAAGCATCCAATGGTTTTAGTGTCTAATATCAACCAATCCATGAAATTGCGCAACCACCTTCCATTTTACTGAGGTAGATACCTATCTGTATCCGACACAGATTATCTTCACTGATCACGGCTTCTCACTAGAACTCCAAGAGTTAGTAATACCAACTAGATAACAAAATGAATGTAGATGAAGTGGAGTTGAAATCAGAATCTTATTGACTAATAGATAGATGTCATATTTGAAAATACACGTCTTTCGCAACTTGACACCTGCTAATAAGATCTATTAAACATTTGCCTTCTGTGAGATTCATACCCATGTCATCCACTTTGATTGTCAGAGATGTTATTATTAAGTTATCTGAGCTTCAGTGAACCTCCTATATGCTATGATACTTATTATATCTTGAAGGTTGTTTTCTTGATATACCGCGTATAACTGAGCTTTAGAATACCAAAGCCTTCCAAGTCGCAAGAAGAAGACAGAAGACTAATGAAAGGGATACTATTCCCAGACAGTGTCAAATTATAGTACAAAATTGTCAGGTATTTATAGTTTTTAGTAAGAACGAAATCATCATTACAGTCCAACAATCCGCATACAGGGGGCTATTAGCGTTATCCAATCAGGAAGCTACATGTAGGGATTCTATAATATTCTACCGAAAAGTGATTGGATGGAATATCTTCGGCTCCTTCTGAGCCTCTTGCAACTTCGTCGAGTTCACCCGTGGTCCGTTGTCACAATACTGGCCATTGATTATTAAATGATATCATAGTTGATGGGTTCATTATGCTGATAGAAAACTCTACAATCTCTAAACAATACAATATTATAATTCAATCAATCATTTCTATGCAAATTTAACCATGTTTATCCACACACTTAACCAATCAATTAAACAAACAAACTAAGTTAAACTCTAATCACATATTTACTTATTGTATTTCATCAATAATAATCCATTTTTTCCTTGTTTGTTTTCTTAAGAACCGATAAGTCCTATATTCAAATCTCACGAGGTGGAATCATGGATGCTCACTGCTAAGGAGTCTCACAATAAGACGAAACGGCTATCTAGTGCTTCTGGGTTTTCTATGGTGGTCTAGCTTTGATTGATTCATGATATCAACCATAAAAATTACTACAATGTCCACAAAAACCCCTCTCTGATTATAATCATTATATGCTCACCAGTGACTGAATTCAAGAGGTATTCTCTGGAGTTCTAGTGAGAAACAGTGATCAGTAGGATTCAACCTGGTCTATTGCGAGATAGTAATTAATTGAAGACAATGCTGGATGAGTCATTTAATATCATGGGTTAATTGAAGTTAGACATTAACACCGGCCAGCTCAGTAGTTTTATGGTTAAGCGTTGGAAAGCGAGACGGATAGGTCCTGTGTTCGAATCTCACTAGGCAGGATTGTAGATACGCACTGTTGAGTAGTCTTACAATAATCTCAACTATTAAACGTACTATCATATCCACAACAACCCTTTATGATATAAATAATTGTTTATTGAATACACTTTTGTTTATTTAATCTTCTTAGGTACACTTCGTATTTACTTATTAAATCAATTACCGATTAGTGTATTATTTGATGATGCCAGTATTAAGAAATTACAAAGTTGTTCTATATGTATGGAAAATTATCATATTGGAGATCGTATTATGGGTTTACCATGCTTTCATATGTTTCATTATACTTGTTTATATGCATGGATTGATAAGGTAATTCGTTAGTTTGGTTTTTTTTTTGTTTTCTTTTCAAATTAACTATTTATTGATGTGTGATACTGTGGTGTGGGTTACTTATATCTATATAAGTAGTATATAAACATGAACAGTCATTGAATGTATTTCAGTAGGAGATCGATAAGGAAAGGACAGAAACGAAACGCAATTGGTATGAAAATGCATGAACAATGAAATTTGAGACAATGGATTGATGTTTGCAACAGGAACAGTTTAGAAGAACAGTTAAATGGTGATTCACTACTAAAGTAAAAGAACCTAGGACTTTTATCATTTGACACCCTATACATATTGCATTAGTAAGTCATGATCAGATTAATTATTCAAGTATAGTCAGTCAAGTTAGTCAGCTACAACGTAGGACCAAGCACGTATGTGTATCGGTCCAAGTTGCCATACGTGATTAGCACAACAAGATGAACACCAAATTCATAGAAGTAGTTACTTCAACGATAGTAATATATAAAAGAAAGATTGTGTATCAGGGTATAGTGCAGGAAGAAAGAATTAGTTCGTAGAATGAAAGATATAAGGTAATTTTAATCTCACGGTTCAAAGGAAGATAAAGTGTGTATACACCGACGCCATTGTGATCAATTCTGAGCCATGTCACCAAGAGTCTCTAATCATTGGTTACAATAGTCACGCGGACCCCAACCAAGTAGTCTACATCTACCAGCATGACTCAGATTAGAAGTTATTGACTCTATGGAATGATGTCACGTTTTAATTTATCCGCCCCTAACTGTCGCCAACACTAGTGAGCATTGAGTGTTGTGGTAATCATCGTTCAGTTATACGTAGCACATGGCCCAACCATCTCAGTCGATGAAGATTTACAACTTCATCAACTGATTTACCATCATTCCCTAATACCCTTGCGTTCAACTTCACTATTACTTACCTGGTGATCCTTGCAGATGCGAGCATTATTACTAAGACATCTGTGATTAAGTATAGTTATGTAAAAATTATCAAATATGAACACTAAATGGAATCTACCTGTGCACCTATATTATTCTTCTATTATGATGATAAACTCTCATACCAGTTTATCAATTTAAAAACATTTTGAAGATTTTTACTTGTATCTTAGTGAATTCATGTTCCCATGCAGTACTATTCAACTGCTTTTCCCTCTCTCTCTCTCTCTCTCACATACATACATACATACATACATACATACCGAATTCTTTCTTATCATCATCATCATCATCATCATCATCCGAAGCATCATCATCATCATCATCATCATCATCATCATCATCATCCGAAGCATCATCATCATCATCATCATCATCATCATCCGAAGCATCATCATCATCATCCGAAGCATCATCATCATCATCATCTATAGGCAAATATATATGGGAAGTTTTCTCCCATTCATACACAATGAACAGATGTTTTAATGTTTGATTTTTCAAGATCTAAGACTATCTACCAGCCAGAAACACGATGTTTGTTCACATTCCTACCGTTTGACTTTCATTAAGTATCACATTTAGCTAAGAGTTTATCAATAATGTTAGTGATTATGATTATCAGTGATGATGATGAAGATGATGATAACGATATAACCAATGTTTATCTTAATGATTAATAGGATTGTTTACATTAGGGTTTGATTTTTACGATTAGCAATGTTGTTTTTTATCATTAATTTTCCTTAAAGGAGTATTATGGAGATCGGTTTTAATTTATCTGTTGTAATTACCACAGATTGATCGAATACCATTGAAAATTAAGGCGAATTGATATGGACCTAGTTAGTAGTGTAGACGAATGGATCCTGAATGATTATCTTACTATATAGTGAATTGATTGAAGTTAGAAATATGTACCAGTTGATGCTAATCTAATGATTCTAATCATCAACACAACAGGTTGAGTGAGAGCATATGGTAAATTGTCATCAGAATTGATTACATCAAGTGGTGTTCGTCAGGGTTGTCCACTCTCTCCATTCTTGTCTAACTTCATTGTAGACGTGCTTTTAGAGATGAAACTTTGCTCATCTAAATTTCCAGGGGTCGAACTTCTACCGGGAGATTCACTTGTTGACGTAGAATATGCCGATGACATAGTTCTATTTGGTGAAGATGCAGACAAAATGCAGAGTCTTCTGACCACTCTGGGCAACAATGCAAGCATGTTTGGGATGCTATTCCCCTGCTCAAAATGCAAAATGTTACTTCAGGATTGGGTTCCATCGACACCCGAGCTAATGATAGGGAGTGAAGTAGATGAGTGTATCAACCGCTTCACTTATCTTGGAAGTCTCATCAGCCCATGTGGTCTGGTGTGTGGCGAAATCTCAGCAAGGATACAGAAGGCTTGACTAGCTTTCGCCAACTTGCGCCATTTATGGCGTAGGCGAGATATCCGTCTATCAACCAAAGGACGTGTTTACTGCGCAGCAGTTCGTTCCGTCCTACTTTATGGCAGTGAAACATGGCCGGTATGGGTAGAGGATATCCGTAGGCTACTAGTATTTGATCATAGGTGTCTTCGAAACATTGCTCGTATATCATGGGACCATCGAGTAAGTAACACAGTTGTTAGGAAACGGGTACTAGGTAAGGATGGGAAACCAATTGATGAAGTAGTGAAACTTCATCAGTTGAGATGGCTCGGACACGTGTTACGTATGCCCAATCACCAACTGCCCCGACGTGCGATGTTTTATGGTGTAGGAGTAGATTGGAAGAAAGTTAGGGGCGGTCAGATCAAAACATGGTACAAATCCATGAAGTCACTGACAAGTTGACTGGGCCATGTTGGTAGGTGTAGACTACTTGGTTGGGGTCCACGAGATGATAGCAACCGATAGTTAGAGACCTTGAATGACATGGCTCAAAATCGTTTGCAATGGCGTAGGTGCATCCACTCTTTGTGTTCTCCTAAATTCTGATCTTCTGAATTCTTCATGTCCCTTTCTTTTTTCTCTTTCCGAATTTATTTCACTGTATTATACTCCTTGAATAACAACTTCAAACCCTAATCATTCGGATTACTGCTTATACTCTTACTACCTTCACCATTATGGGATTTGAATTGACAGTTGTATTTTTGTACTAATGTGGTATGGCAACTCGAACCAATGTGCGTACTTTCGAAGTTCTACGTTGTTACTGACTGACTGAATAATCAAGCACATGTACTCAAACATGGAATTTAGACATTCATTTCGAAACCTGAATAGTCTGGCTTCGATTTCTAGTGATGTCATGAATGCTCACTGTTGGGGAATCCTGTACTAGAATGAAAGAGATATCCAGTGCCTCTTGATTTTAAATGGTGTCGCAAAGAATACAGTCAAAGACTTTGTTACTGTTACTAACAATTTATCTTCGTGTTATCTCTCACCAGTCTTTCTTATTAGTAACGGTTTGTGCATCCAGAACAAATGTCTTGCTTACGGGGACAAACGTTTTGGTAAGAATTTTAAATTATAGCTAGTAGTGGAGTTCGATACGTTCATTCTGTCCTATTTTATGACTCATCGGTGTGGTACACCTACCGATATCTACGGCTTTAAACGCTAACATATCTATTAAACTACTGAATAATGAAAGCCATCAAACTGTTTGATAAATATGTGGTTATGTCTTACAGTTGTTATTGATCAAAACTGATTCTATTAACAGATATGCGCCTTGAACTGAAACCCATTCATTTCTGATTATTCTTCCAATGTTTATATGATATTGTTTTCTCCGTATTGTCCTGACGCATTCATCATTTTGTTCTATGATTATATACTATTAATTTTATTACCATCTGACATTAGATCTCTTGTTCTTGTATGTCTGCATGCTGTTCCTCATAGTTGTTATGCAAAACTTCCGAACGTTTACAATGAGGATAGTGTTTGAACAGATAACAGGTACTATTAACCTCATATTATGGTTGTAGTACTTCTCCATGTTTTAGCTCCGTATAACAGAACTGTCTTGACATTTATGTTGAAAAATCTGACTTTGGTGTTGGTTAGTAGACAGTTGTTTTGAGTTACAGATGTTCTTCATTTGTAAATATGCTGTTCTTGCCTTACCGATCCGCATCTTCACATCTGTATCAGATCCACCGTGTTGATCAATGATGCTGTCCAGATATGTAAAGGTTTTTACATCTTCCAAATCTTTCCCGTCAAGTGTGATTCGATTATTGTATGCTGTGTTGTATCGGAGGCTAACATATATAGTATAACTTAACACTTATGTTAATTGATTAGCTGTATTCGTAAAGAACCTAATCAGTAAAGTCATGTTATCGGAGATGAGTGATCTCATTTCATCTACCACATTGATTAGTATGGATAGATAACTCTTTAAGTTAAAAACGGTGAATCTTAATGTTAAGTATTATGATGAATGTAACACTATACGAAAAAGCAAAACGAATATTTTTTTGTTAATCGATAAATGCTTTATAAGAAAAGATGAATAGTGGTTGACAGTGGAATCCAGGACACGCGTTTCGGCCTGCATGGAACTCGTCAACAGGATGTACCTACATCCTAGAGTTGATGTTCACTCTGGGATTCGAATCCAGTACCATTCACTTCAAACGCCATCGCGTTATCCGCTTACCTACTGAGTCCTGGTAGCCACTAACTAAGTAGATAACGCGATGGCGTTTGAGACGAACGGTACTGGGTTCGAGTTCCGGGGTGAACATCAACTCTGTGATGGAGGTACATCCAGTTGACGAGCCTTAAATAGGACGAAACGCGCATCTTTGATTCCATTGCCAGCCCATTTCTATCTTTGCTTAAAAAGATTGTTACTTTAGGCATTATCGAGGCAATCCTTACAAGATGCACATATGCCAACAAGTGACTGATCAGTTGTAGTTCTTAACAACAATCGGACGATACAAGTAAACAACACCAAATGAATTTGGATGATAAATACTTTATTCTCAAGATTGGAAAATGTTATATCTTGAATGTTGATTTCTTGATATACCGAACACTAGAACAC